CACAACAGGGTAAAAGCAACACTGGCTACTTCAAAATATTGAAGAGTAGTTTAAATTTTACCTCCTTTAAGTCATTATTTTTTCTCCTGAGACTATCTTTACCGCTTTGCTAGTGGTAGTGACCTTTTCTAGTCCCTGTAAGAAGAAAGCTTGTGGCTGTAAAATAATGCCACTGAAATTTCTTAGCACTTTTCTGTGTGCCCTTTATAAGGTGAAAAGTGATTTTTCACAGTGATTTAAATGCAGGGGCTTTATGAAAGTGAGGCTTTCTTGTGAAGTTGCTTATGATAACTTTCTTGTATCTTGCAGGGCAAAACTTACTGCTCCATTATATAATAACAAAGATGTGGCATGTATTTTTGTATAGAAAAACTCGTGTAGAACAGAGTTATATAATTGATGAAGACCGTACTTACACATGATGCATGCGCCTTTTTTATTATTTACTCTCTCTAGAATACTTCACCAGGTTAGAATTTTGCTTTTTTCAAACTGCAAGTTATTTCACCATGAGTGAGGTGATTTAATAATAGTAGCTTGGTTCACTAGTCAGTGATTCATTTTGTTAGAACACGCTCCACAGAAAATGCCTGTCTTCATCTGAGCAGTTCAAAGATGGTGCAGTGCAATTTATGGTCTTAGCCTTAATTTCACACTCAAAGTACTTGTCTGGTTGCCTAGTATGAAACAGGTTATGGATATGAGAAATTAGAGGTGTCTAATCCTATAGATGATTAGTTGAGTAACTCTCTTTTGTGGATGTTAGCACCACACTTCAGTCTTTTAATGGTGAGGTGGTGGGACCCAGAACAAAACCCTGGGGTTGTTCATATGAAATAAAAATTTCATTTTAATAACATTTAATTAAAAAAAAAAAAAAAAGATAAAAAAACAGGGTCTCCAAAATCTAACACCATAGTAAAATAAGAGGACATAGTTAAAAAGCCCCACAGCATTACAGAAACTACGTAGTGCCTTTCTTCTTCCCAATGTGGAATGAAATCAGTGGGACATAATGCTTATGAGAAGAGACAAGTAATGAAGGCAGGTAGTGTTACAGCAAAACTAAGGAAGTAGTGAGTCTTCAGTAGCCCATGTTACTTGAAGAAGCGAAGGTAACTAGTTAAAATAATGCTAATCAACCAGTTGCTTCAAAATACGTAGTTGTTTGTGTGTGTGTGCTGTCCGGATATTTTTCTTATAAGAAGGGGAGCTCAGATCAGTCCTAGGTTGTACTGCTTAAATACTTTTAGATAAAAAGATTTGTCATCTGTCAGTGTTTAATCCATTATAGGTGTCTGTTTGGAAACTATTTAGGCTACTTTTGACTGCCTTTGACCAGCCTGTGTGTGTTTGAAGACACATTGACTAAACATTTAACAATATACAGGGCCATTTCGTTATTGACAACAGATTTTTGCCTCCTTTGCTCCTCATTCCCCAGTCAGAAAGTTGAGAGTGTTGGCAGAGATGTAACATCCTGGTCAGTGGGGTAACACATCTTTGGAGACTGTGGCTTTGGGCAGCGTGTACGGTGTTAGAAAGCAGTGCCTAGTGTCTGCTGGAATGTGCTGAGGTGTGAGAGAAGCAGAGCACTGGTAGACTAGGCTGGAAGGTTCAGCATCAGGGAATACTGCTCCTTAATCTCACTGTAGCTGTGTTAACAAGCTTTTTTTTTTAAAAAAAAAAAGGGGGGGGCGGGGAAGAAATGTTAATAATTGTCTTCCTGTTTTGTTTTTTTTTTTTTTAATTAAGCAAGCGTGGGATGGTTGTGATCTTTCTGTGGTTCTTAACAATAATGTATATTCACCCTGTGAGCAAAAGTGTGCTAACTAATATCAAAAAAAATCAGTCAAGACTGGCTAAACTGGAAGTAAGACACAGTAAGGCCACAGGGAAGAGGGTGGTACAGGGAAGGAATTACATATATATTCAGTCCTGTGGCATGAGAGTGAACAAGTGGTTATAGACACCGTCATGTGATTTTTAACCTTTTTTTTTTGTGTTGGGACACGTTGAAGGGAGAGGAGTGGGCAGTGTGACATTGAGGGCAGGGGAGAGCGATGGGAGGCAGGATGAGGAGCGAGAAGTGAGGTTCAGAAGGGGCAGGAGAGGGGAAAGACGCTGGCTAAGGTTGGGCAGAGGATGAGGGAGAGGGAATGGAGGCGGGAAGGAACGGGCTGGTGACATTTTAAGACCGTGAGACAAAAGCTGGAGGTGGTGAGCCAAGTGTACACGTGGCCTGTATAGCGAGGCTGTGCAGGTTTTAGGTGGGTGCAGCAGGGCGGCTGCTGCGACCTTCGTGCCCTTCCACCTGGGGAAGGGCTGTGCCAGGGCCGTGGGGCTGCTGGCACTCGTGGCACAGCTGGCCTGGTCTCTGCTCTTTTCTGCTTTTCTCCCAGGGCCATGTGGTGGCCCCAGCACAAGTTCCTGTGCTTTCTTTTAATCTTCTGTTATTATAGCTGGGAAAGAGAAATAATATCCAACAGTGTTATGTGTAATTCCTGCTACAGTGCAGAAGTGAATGCGGCGTTCTCATAACCAGCAACCCAGCAGATGGTTGCAAGAGGAATAAAAATGTATCAAGCATTCTGAGTGCTAAATTCATACAAGATTTTCTTGACCACCTCCTGGATTATTTTTGTTGGAATTGGTATGTACAACCTGAATTACGTGTGAAGTCTGATACGTGAAGGAGGGAAGGGGTAGATACACAGAATAGAGACTGTGTGCAGTGTGTTCCTCGTGTGTCAAGCAGCACCTGCTGAGAGACAGGACCCTGTTTTGTGCAGGTGCCAGCAGGCAAATTTCTCTGTGCTTTGATAACGTGCTCTTAGAAAAGTTATTTGGCTTTTGGTTTTGTCTTTGCATTTTCTTCTTCACCTGGTGTTATAGGTGTTATATGGCAAGCAATGGAAATGTGATGGGCTCTTCATTAGAGCTTTCCCTTGTCCTCTCCCACAGATACATGCACCACTCTGATGTAAACCAGGCCCAATTTTGTCTCCTTCTGTCACAGAAACTGTTGTTTATAGATGGAGGTTAATCCCATTTGAGAACTGGATTAGCAGAGATGTAGTCATTTAACCACAGAATCCTAAATTTGGGCTGAGGAGGTTCTTAGATAGTCCTGGATGGGACTAATGCTCTGCAGACATTCTGAATCGAGACAGTTTCATGGCAGGCCACGTACCACCAAGGTATAAATCTAATGGAGCTCACCATGACAGCAGTTATATGACTGGCTGATAAATGACTGTGGGTTTTGTAGAAACAAAGGCAAGTAAAAGATCTTTGTGTGTTGCATGGACCTAACTTCCTCAGAGAAGTGAATTATAAAGATCACATGGAAGATTACTGATGCTTTACTGTTAGCGTGGTGTGCTGGTAATTACTACAGAATTTCCCGAGGCACCAGCAAGATCTGCTCCTTTTAAGGATAAAAGGCTTGGGGTTGGTGGTTGGATTGGCACTTGTGCTTTTATCCCTCTTCTCTGAATTTCCTTAAAGGTATTTATCTCTTTAGGGACATATTGATAAAGGCATGTTAGCAAATCCTGGAGCCTGAGCTTTGTAGGAGCAAACCTAGGAAGAAAGATTAGGATCAGTTTGAGCTTTAAGGGGGTAGAACAGGGAATTCCCTGCTCACTGAATAGAGACATTATCTGCTTTGGGCAGTGGTGTGACAAATGCATCTACCTCAAGCACAGTCCCCATTCAGTTCAGTTAAAAAAATCTTCCTTAAGTCAGGGCAGCAGAGGCAGATTTTGAAATAATTGTATTGTGTGTTCAAAACAAAACAAAACCCACAAAACCCACCAGAAGCAATTGATCAGATCAAACAAATGTGGCTATCGAGATAATGACCTTTTAAATATTAACAGTGCTTGAAGTTGTAGGACAAAGCAAGAACAATCCAAAATACGGGTTTTGTTTAGGGTTCCTCTCCCTCTCCCAACTCAAAGTAGACACTTCTCAGATACAAAAGATATAAAAGCAGCAGTGCTGTAGGGAGCCATTTAGTAAAAGCAGTTTGTTTTGTTTTGTTTTTTTATAGCTAAAATGCACAAGTTGCACCCAGAATTGCTTTTAAAGTAATGCATAAAATCTGTTGTTAATGACTATGTAGTAATCTGCACAGCCGTGATGCACATTTTCCATTGGGAACTTTTGAAAACTGTTTATGCTCAGCTCCTGAAGGTGCATTTCTACAATGTAGGGCAAAGCTGTGTTTGAAACCTCAATATCATCCTATTTTTTTGTGTAAGAAAGCTACATAAACTATGAGCATACTCCCTTGGTTTTGGTTTCAGAAATTTAAACCAAGATTACTTCTTTGTTAGATAGAAGCAAAACTTAACTGAAAAGGACAATGAAAACAGTGATTGAAAACATATTCTTTCATTTGAGTGAGAAAGTTAGCACTCAAGGGAATTGGACTGTGTTTGTTTCAGGGCTTTTGGTGGGTAGCACTCTGCTTGGCAAATGTTTTGCTTCAAGTGCATTTCTGTATGATTTTTCTGATTGAGAGCTTCAGAAAATAAGCTGTAGAGAAGGGAGAAAGCAAAACTCAGAGATCTAGAAGAAAAGTATCAAGTCCCAGCTGAAGAGATCTAATCACTCCCAAAACATCTCAAAATGTGTCAACCATATTTAGAAATAGCTACATTAAAAAAGAAGAAAGCTTGATCCTTTTAACACTGTAAATCACGGAAAGCAGTGAAAACTAATATTTATGAGGGGGATTGTGAAAGCTTGTGTGACAGTTGGAAATTACATCACTGTTGATGTTTCAAATTCTTGTGTAAAGTAATGCAACACTGTGTTTATGAATGAATGAACAAATGATTGTGCTGTGCTAAATGTACTCTATATGGATAAACTGGGTTAAGCTATTTTCTGTCTCTTGTCTTCACTTATGTTACTTTGCAATATACTGTCCTATATGTTTCAATGTAAATACAGAAAACTCAATTCCGGGTATTTATTTTTTATTCCAGATACAGACCCACGTGTCTTAGAGAAACAAGAACTTCAGCAGCCAACCTATGTTGCTTTAAGTTACATTAACAGGTAAGTGTGGTTATTTTTCGGGTATAACTGATCTTGGTTTGCACAATATGTGTATATTTGCATATGCCAAAATGGTATGGTTGTGTACGCACTCTGTTTCATGTTCTATGACACTATGATAACACCTGTTTTGGAAAGACAGTTGAATTAAAATTTAACTAAATTTTAATCACTTTTACACAGGGCACAAGCAGCCGTTCAGCTGTACTGCTCAAATACTTAGAGGATGATGTTTTCGCCTTTTATGTTTAATAAATCTTGTGCAAAACTAGATAATTCGTCTTTGCTTGTATTTCCATTTTCTTGGACTCCACACAACTGAGTGGAGAAAGAATATTTTTTTTTCAATCAGAAGTGAAATGTAACTGATAATAGATCTATACATAAGAGATTTTTTTACAGTACTTTGGAATTTTTTCAACCACAGTGTATATCTTAAAATCTTGTTTACCAGCCCTATATAACCTAAAACTTGAAAAAATTAAGAAATTAAACCAATTTTTAAATCATTTATCTAAATAACAAAGCCTTGGCTTTTCAGTTATTGACTGATGGCAGAACTGAAACCTCCAGAGTACTCCAGCATGGAGGAGTGGAACGGCTGTTTGTGTCTCAGGCTGTGTCACAGTAAAGAGCAGCCTGAGAGTTGCACTTTATTTTCCCTCTCATCTAAACATATCGCAGAATTCAGTGGAGGTAGCTCAGATTACTCTTACTCTGGGAGGAGAGTGACCCATGGAACATGCTGCATGGAAGGGGAAGATGGCAAGGTTTTGTGCAGTTGCAATGCCACTTTTTCAGCATGTTTGCCAAGCTGTCTTCTAATTCTAAATAAACACTGTACAGGAAGTGTAATTCCTCACTTAAAACACTTTTTTCTAGGTAAATCAGCGTGGTGCTATTGTGGGATTATTTTGCCTTCTTTTACATCATAGTCTTTTTGATCAGGTGTGTTGTGGTTGAAAGTTCCAGTTAGTTGCATTTTGGAAATGCATTTCTCAAAAGAATGTGTGGTATTACTGGGTTTTATACATGGGACACCCGTGTCCTTTTGTATCTTTGCTGTCTAGAGGATGAGATGCAAACTCACAAGCCTGGAATATTAACCCAGAATTTACTTCAGGATAGACTGAGTTGATTCAAACTCTCATTGGCCATACACAGTGCAAAATTTTTCTTTCTAATACCACTTCATGTTAAAAATGAAAAAAGAAAAAGGAGAAAAAAAAAAAACCAACAAACTTTTTCAAACACAGAATCCACCATTTGGCTTTGTATAATATTTGCTGTAGAGAAGAGGTGTCAGTGAAGAGGAAAAAGAAGACTTTGAGTTATGAAAGGAAGAAGTGGCGTTCACTTGGTGAAATGACTAAATTTTCTCCACTACATGAGACTTACACTGATTAAGAATAGCTGCTATTGACATGATTTCCTACTTGGCAAGTAATTCCCGTTCTTCCTGGAGACAGCCCTACTCTTTAAAGCCTATTTTGAAATTAACCATTGACCCTTTTTAACACTTACTTCTGTTGATCTCATTTAATGTAAAAAACTTTTTCTTTTTTTTTTTTTTGATATGTAGGCTTGGTATGTTGTTGTGTATGGTGGTATGTTTCCCTCGTTCGGTTATATACTTGGGCGTTTTCTCTTGTTGCTTCTGTGCTTATTTTACTTAATGTGAGGGAGAGGGAAGGGGTTTTTTGAAAATTGGGGAAAAGATGGTTTAAGACCACAGAAAGTGCCACAGGACTTGATTGGCCAATTTGGAATCAGACTACATTTAAAGTAGTTTGAAAGTGATACCTCATCTAGATTTCATGATTTTGGTACCCTTTTTAACTGAGTTCTTTGTGACTGAGACAGTTTTAGTTACTCACTGCATATTTTGTCCAAACTTTCTTACCCTTTCGCTTCTGCGAAATAATTCTGCAGAACTGAATTGAGTTGTTCTTACAGTAAAACCCAATCTAAATTTAAACCAGCTGCAATTTAATTGCTCTTTTAATTGTATTTTAATTTCTTCCAAAGTGCTGATGTCTTTCATTGAACCACCTGCTCTATGCAGCTCAGGCTCTTGAGGGAGCAGCAATATCCATTACACTTACAAGACATGCCTTTCTATTTCCCACTACATATGCCAGATCTGAGTTCTGCTTTGTTGTCCCAGGCTATGAACTCAGATTTTGTAGCCTAATACATGTCATAAACATGTTGCATACTGTTAGATATCAAACACCAGATACTGCTGCACTTTTTTTTAAACCCATGCTTTTATGGCTTCCAAGTGGAACTGAGCTTAGCTCAGTTCCTGCTGTGAGTTCCAGACCTTAAAACAATCTTCCTCTGCAGGTTTGTATATCCAATATGTTCTGTGTGGGCTGTACGCTTCTGTGGAGCCTGGGAAAATAGGGACTTCTGATTCTCAGGGACTGTCAAAATTGCATGATAAGATGTACGCTTAATATATGTTGTGGTATAAAGATTAAGTGGGTGTGCTTTGTGCTCTGCCCATTGCCCTGTTGTATGGTGGCCATTATAAGCTGAAACAGAACATAAATCTGGGTTGTCTGGTTTGATAGCTTGGAGGATAAAGTATCAGTAAAGCAGATAGAAGATACAGAAGGGTACTAGAGTCTTTTGTTTACAACCTGAAGCATACTCTTGTTTCCATTTTCCTTCTACTCCTGGTTATTTTCTCAGGCATATTAATACAGCAATACTGTATGTGCTCTTAAGCTCTGAAACAACCTTCAGATTGCGGATGCCTTGAGCCTGTAAGGCTCCATCTCTTTCTCTGCTGGAGATTTACTGCCATTACAGCTTTCAGTAACTGCACACAGATGCAGCTTCCTTAGTGTGTGATCCTCATGTAGACAGATAACATTCCTTTAAAAACTGGTGGACAAAATATAAATTATAGGCCTTAATGGTTTATTATCACTACATCAAACACTTGCACCAGGCACTGACTGAATTGCTGCAATTCCATTTGTCAGACGGAGTTTAGTGTAGCCTTAATGCAGTCTCCAGTATTGAAGGTTGTTCCCTACTAACTTTTGGGTTGCTTTCTTACAAGTCAGCATTGGAGTCAGTAAGACAGACTGCTGCCAAAGCAGATGCAGTTCATCTGCTCCCATCCTATAAATACAGAAGTGGTTTGTCTGGAAGTTCAATGGTGCTGCTACTACAGAATGGGATACTGGCTCTGATATATCAGGAGTAGTTGCAAATGACCACTGGAGCCAACAACCTCTAGTACTTTCTAGAGGTATTTCCTTCATATATGGGTCAAGACACATTCGTATTTTGTTTTGCATTGAAATGCAGTGTTTAGCAGCAATAATTAACATTGCTTATACTACTACTTAGATACAGTATTTGTAGCTTTAAGTTAACTAACATGACTATGAATTTTGCTTGGTGTTTATTGGAACCTACATAGTGCTGTTTGTGCCCCTGAGCCTCTCAGTCGGGACTTTGGAGGCGATGGTTCTTGTTTGCTGTTTTACCGTGGAAAGTGAAGCCCTGGGGTTCCAGCATACTGTCAAGGCTTTTAGGCTTGTGCAGTCTAATGGAGAGAGATTCCTCAGTATTTTCATACTCAAAAATTTGTTTAATATGGACATTGCTGGCTACTTGTTAGTGATAAAAGGAGCTGCTGTGGAAATGGGTTGGGTTTCTTTAAAAATCAAACATCCCAGCATTATTAGCATAAGTGAGAAGACAGCAGAGGCATACAAATACTTCCACTGGCTAAAGAAGGTAATACTAAAAAAAAAACAAAAAAAAACAAACAAAAATACTAAAAAAGTTTTGATTCTGAAACTTAATGAATGCAAAATCCTTTGCAGTTAAGTTTTAAAGCAGGTCTTTCAGCTTCCAGATGGTAAGTACCAGAAATAGGAAGAAAGCACAATTTATTGGAGTAAATTCCTTTCACCTTAAAAATGGAAGGTGGGAAGTGCCATAGTAACTTGTATTATTGGAAGCATATTCCATAAAAAGAACAATTAAATGTGCATTTCATACAGCTTCTATAAAATAAATTTTCCTTAGATACAGAAATGGGTTTGATTAAAAAAATTTCATGATGGTGGGGAAAAAAAGAAACTAGAATGCACCTACAACTGAAACTAAGCTGGCTGAATTGTATAGTGTTTCAACTGCAAATCATATACTAGGTATATTAGGGAAATGTTGAAAGCAAGGCAGTTGTAATCTTAAAATTTTTTTAAAAGCTACCCAAATAATTTTAATTATGCTAATCCAAGGTTCTTTTTTAATAGCAGTTTTCTGTTGATAATTGAGATCATACAAGAAAGGTTATATAATAAAATAGGTTTTAAGCACTGATCCTGCAAGCAGTTACAGCACACTGGGGTGAATAATTTCAGTATTTCCTGTTGAAGGAAGTTGTTGAATGTCTTTAAAGTTTATTGTTATGCATAACTGGGAGCACAAATGAAGCCTGTGATCAAAACTGGATGGCATTCTTGGGTTGTCCTTGCACATCTCTGAGCCAGTCCTAACATTTTTGTTCTTCCCTCCAGATTTTATTTTTAACCAGCAAGATATTGCCTCACTGTTACCGTTATAAATTCCTGTAGGCTCCAGGCTTCTCCCCCCGTTTCCCTTTCCTTTCAATGGTCATTGGCTTCTCAAGAACAAATTTCCCTACTCTGCTTCCTTTTTTTTTAATACCACAAGAAGTAAAATCAGTCATTTCTGTGAGCATATGCATTTGTGAAAGGAATTAATTGCTTCCTTTTTTTTTAATACCACAAGAAGTAAAATCAGTCATTACTGTGAGCATATGCATTTGTGAAAGGAATTAATTGCGTGTAAAGTTCTAACCACTGCAAACTGTCCCTGTGTCTTGTCCAGCTCACTAATTCTGGTTCTATTGCTATTACCTATTTTTTCCAGAAGTAAAATTAACAGCCAACACCATAGGATTTAATGATCACTTGAAAGTTATTTTTAAAAGTGGTTAGTCTTTA